TTACTTATCTGCTTGCTTGCATCTTGCTTACTTCCTTCCCTCCCTTTGCTGCCTTTGCTTTCTTCCTTGTTTTGTTTTCTCGCTTACTTCCCTAAACATATTTCATAATAACCTGAATCTTATGACAAAATTGATCTTTATAGAGACTGTAAGACGCTGCGAACCAAGTTGTACAGGGAATGAAAATTGTATCAACCTCAACGGCACTTACCAGTGTGTTTGTAAGGAGGGATTTGATAGACAGGACGGGAAATGCAAAGGTAGTAACACATTAAAGTTGCATTAAAGAAAACAAATGTCTTGTGTGATAATAAGGTACTGTGTTCAAATTTCATATAAATGATTTTCTGTTTTTGATTTTCTCCCCAGATATCAACGAATGTGAGTTCGTTATTTCTCCGTGCAACGGTAATGCAGTTTGTGAAAACACCGCTGGCTCATATGTGTGCAGGTGTTTGGATGGATTCAAAAAAGAAGAAGATGCATGCATCGGTAAAATATCAGAATTACTTTTTGACTTTGTTTAAACTGTTATAATCCAAGCGCTCAGATTTACTACCCCGACAATCAGATTGCCTCAAAAATAACAATTCCACGGTCAAGGCACGACATGGAACTGATCTCTTACCGTAAATCCTCACAATCATAAGGGACTACCCTATTAAGCTTTGCGATTTTACAGATTTGAAGCGGAAGTTCAAAAAATGTCATAGTTAACGATTACCACACGTAAAAGACCTTCTTTCTATCAACAGATATAAATGAGTGTTTGGACCAAAGCACTTGTCATGCCAATGCTACGTGTGTTAATTCCATTGGATCGTACCGCTGTGAATGTAATGACGGGTTTATTGGTAACGGCAAGTCTTGCACAGGTAATGCAAAATATTGAAGTTAGTTACGAGCCTTGGGGTCGCATATCAATTAAATATTGCTTTCTCTGAGAAATCCAAGGAGATTCTTTATAAATGCTGTCCAAGAGGGGGGAGAAGAAGAACGCAGAAAAAGAGAGGGAGAACGCATATTACACAAAGAATTTATATATCCAATCAAAGCGCTTCAGATTTACTACTCCGCCAGACTCCTCCTGGAAAGGCTAAATTACCTACTTTGCACAATAGAAAACTGTAAGATATAACAAAATTAATGCTCAAGGTTAAAAGGGGCTTGTGTCCAGATTATATACTTAAATTATTTTCAAATAATAATACCAATTACAATTTAAGGACTAAGGAATTTGTAATTCCTAGAATTCATGCCACGGGTTTTGGTGCTGAACTAGTCTACTCAACAGTCGTCATTAGTTTCGGTCTCAGATGGCCCGTGAGGATCTGGATCCGAAACTAATGACGAGTGCGGAGGAGACTAGTGCAGAACATGTTACCAAATAATTGAACAACCACCAAAAAAACGTGTCTCGTAGATGTATTATTGTCTAAGCAGAGAAGAGCGTTCGTGTGAAACATTTGTCAATTTTTATTTCCTTTGATAGTGCATGCACCAACTCAAGCTGTAACACCGAAGACTTCACCAACAAATGTAACAACGAGCACAATTAAGGAAACCACGAAAGCAGATATAGAACTCACTACTCCTGCGACAATAGACACCGAAACACCAATCACTTCGATAGTAATTACAGAAGAAACTGCTACATCAAGTATACTCGGTTTAGAAACCACAACAAGAAAAAAAGTGACTGAAATACCTAAAACTGATGAGAAGACTGAACAGCCTCCCACTAGAGAAAAAGAGACCGAACAGCCTGCCACTGGAGATAAGATAGGTCCAGTACCCACTACTGTAACACCTTCAACTGGTGAGAAGACTGAACAGCCGTCCCCTGGAGAAAAAGAGACTGAACAGCCTACCACCGGAGAAAAGATAGGTCCAGTACCCACTACTGTAACACCTTCAACTGGTGAGAGGACTGAACAGCCTATCACTGGAGAAAAAGAGACTGAACAGCCTACAACTGGAGAAAAGATAGGTCCAGTATCCACTACTGTAACACCTTCAACTGGTGAGAAGACTGATCAGACTATCACTGGAGAAAAAGAGACTGAACAGCCTACAACTGGAGAAAAGATAGGTCCAGTATCCACTACTGTAACACCTTCAACTGGTGAGAAGACCGAACAGCCTATCACTGGAGAAGAAGAGACTGAAGAGCCTACCACTGGAGCAAAGATAGTTCCAGTACCCATTACTGTAACACCTTCAACTGGTGAGAAGACTGAACAGCCTATCACTGGAAAAGAAGAGACTGAAGAGCCTACCACTGGAGGAAAGATAGGTCCAGTACCCACTACTGTAACACCTTCAACTGGTGAGAAGACTGAACAGCCTATCACTGGAGAAAAAGAGACTGAACATCCTATCACTGGAGAAAAAGAGACCGAACAGCCTACAACTGGAGAAGAAGAGACTGAACAGCCTACCACTGTAGAAAAGATAGGTCCAGTACACACTGCTGTAACACCTTCAACTGGTGAGAAGACTGACCAGCCTACCACTGGAGAAGAGACTGGACAACCTACCACTGGAGTAAAAGAGACTGAACATCCCACCAGTGGAGAAAAAATAGGTCCTATACACGTTACGTTCGAGCCTACTACATACAAAAAATTGAAACCTCCAACCACCGATGAGGTCGATATTACAGAAAAACCAACATCGATGGACAAGGTTACGGTAAAGCCTACGACAGGATCGTTCATGATCACAGGAGATGTTGTGACCAAGAAAACAACAGTGTCTCCTGAAACAGGCAAGAAGCTATCAATACATTACAGTGCGACACGCTTAATTGTGGCCACCCAACTAATTTTTTACCAATGCCGTTCATTTCTTTCCCGCCAAATGTTTCAATTAATCAATAGACTTAACTTTTACGAAACAGTACTGTGTTCACCTGCAAAGGGACCAAAATAGGTATCACCTTGGCAAATTCTTAGCGATTTAGTTAACTCTTAAAGAAATGATTTTAAATATTTTCGTTTACGCTAAGTAAGTTCATGTGCAAATGCATAAATTCTGGCTCTCTTATTGGCTAACCAGTAAAAGATTAAGTTGGATGGCTATGATTAGGCACGTCGTATGCACTATAATATGTGTTTGGTGCATGATATAGAGAAAGGTAACCAAATACTCTACGATGACATCGTCTTTGTATTTAATTTTATCAAAGAACATACATTTTACAATTATAACTTACATATTTCTTCCGCGCTGATTAGTTATTCTTTATCATCAATAAGAGCACAGACAGATGAAGCTGAGGTGAACGAGCGCGCGCTATTTCCGTTCGTTGTTTTGGCCACTGAAAAGGAGAAGTTCTTATCGTTTTTGTTATTGTAAAAAAACATATAGACATCAGTTTTGTTTGTGTTTGTTCTTTTTTATTTGACAGACACTTAAAAAACTGATGTCTATTTGTTAAAGTGCCTATCACCCTTCTGACAATATTCTCAGTATTGATTCTACATGGGGTAAGATGTTGAATAACCCGAAAAAATTACATAGTTTGAGTGCGGCTTCTTGAAGTTATAAAGGTTTTTCCACGCCATATGCTAATGCTGTGACGTATGAGGAGTAATCATTTAATATACAAAACACTACTGGTACAGATAATACGTCATTGTTTCCCCCATTGCTCTTATAGAAATKATTGCAAGTTAGTTTTCCCATAGAAGCCGGTGTTTCGAATTACGAGAAACAACAAATAACCATAAATGCCTCCTCATACGTTACAGCATTAGCATATGACATGGATAAACCTTCATAACTCCAAGAAGCCGCACTCAAACTATGTAATTTTTTCGGGTTATTCAACATCTTACCCCATGTAGAATCAATACTGAGAATTTTGTCAGAAGGGTGATAGGCACTTTAAAGTGAGCGCGGAGAAGATAAAATTCCTATATCCAAGTGGCATTATAAATTTCTGTTATATATACTTAATTTTGAAACGAGGTTTTTATTATTTTGAACATAATCACTTCAAAATATACTACGAAAGGTGCAAGTCGAAGCAGACATTTTAAAGTGCAATTTCATCATCGAGAAAATTAAAACATTAAGGTAGAAAAGAAAAAAAATTGTATTATTTCTTAATTATCTCTCATTTAGACATTATAACAGAAAAGGTGCAAACAAAACTACCTCAAGAAAAGGTAACATCACAGCCAACCACTTCTCAAAAAGTTACGGGAAGACCAACCACTGGCGAATTAGTAACTGGAAAACCAATCACTGGTGAATTAGTAACTGGAAAACCAGCCACTGATGAAGCAGTAACTGAAAAACCAACCACTGGTGAATTAGTAACTGGAAAACCAACCACTGGTGAAGTAGTAACTGGAAAACCAGCCACTGGTAAAGTAGTAACTGGAAAACCAACCACTGGTAAAGTAGTAACTGGAAAACCAACCACCGGTGAAGTAGTAACTAGAAAACCAATCACTGGTGAAGCAGTAACTGGAAAACCAACCACTGGTGAAGCAGTAACTGGAAAACCAACCACTGATGAAATAGTAACTGCAAAACCAACCACTGGGGAAGTAGTAACTGGAAAACCAACCACTGGGGAAGTAGTAACTGGAAAACCA